ACTTTTAACCAATAAATCATAACTTATAGACCCCCTCGAAAATAATTACGAAAATGCCACGACAAAAATCAACTCAGAGACCTTCAAATTTTTTTAACGCGGTGTCATTTTCGTAATTATGATGGAGAGCTTTATAAGTTATGATTTATTGGTTATAAGTTCCAATATTCAGTCTATAAGTTTACTGCGTTGTAAGATTATATGCAAATCCAAGGTCTGAGATTACTTCTCACTTCTCATTTTAAATGGAACTTCTGACCTGATCTTTTCTATATATAGGGAGCGGTTCCGGTAAGAACGGACTCCCAGGAGAGAAATGAGAAAGAATATGGACCGCCGGATTGTATTATGTAGATCTGGATTGTGCATTTGGTGAAACTGAAATGTGCATCAGATGATATTGAAATATGCAAAATAAAATTTTTATCTCAAATGTGCATTAGGTGAACTGAAATGTGCGAAATAAAAATTACAAAAATAACATCACATCGTACCTTTTATTTCAGCACAATTCGGTTTCACCTAATGCACATTTCAATTTCACCTAATGCACAATTCAACTTCACATAATCCCACTGATCGTACGATGTGTGCTTCACATTTCAATTTCACCCAATGCACATTAGAGTTTCATCTAATCCACATTGAATTTCACTTAAAGTAAATCTAACGGTCCCGATTCATTCTCATTTTTCTCCTAAGACCATGTTCTTATTTGAACCAAAACACACACACACATATAGGGGAAAGATCAAGTACAAACTGTGCTTATTGTGCAAATGTTTGTACGATGCACCTTGACGTTATTTGCATTGCATATTGAGGTTCAAAGTGTTGCATATTATATAGTCATAAAATAGCAGTTGCAAATTTACGTTCAATGAGTTGCACCCTAGAAAAGTTAGGTTTTATTACAAAAATGCCACCTTGCATTTATATCCTTTAGATCAACTCATCGGATGGCCAAGATAAGTTTGTACTTTGTAAATTAAGCATGATTTGTATTTGATCTCTATTCTATATATATATATATATATATATGGAGCAGATCAGGTGAGAAGTGCTCTTATGCTGAGAACTGCGAAGTTTAACTAATAGACTAAAAACACGAACTTTTAACCAATAAATCATAACTTAGAGACCCCGTCGAAAATAATTACGAAAATGTCACCGCCAAAAAAAAGCCTGGAAACCTTGAAAATATTTGGACGCGGTGTCATTTTCGTAATTATGATGGAGAGCTTCATAAGTTATGATTTATTGGTTATAAGTTTCTATATTCAGTCTATAATTCTACTGCGTTGTAAGATTAGATGCAAATCCAAGTGGTGAGATTGCTTCTCACTTCTCATTTTAAGGAAGACTTCTCACCTGATTTTTTCTATATATCTATATATAGGAAAATTCTTAGGTCCAGCACCTCCTGGTCCGAACGCCGTCCGAACACTGCCGTTTGGGGCGGTTCCCGGTGGAAATTTTTGATGAAATTTTTGTAGAATGTTCCTCATCAAGTCTAAGTTATCCATACCAAATTGTAGCTCAAAACGCGATCGGGAAGGCAATCCAATAATTCGTTGAAGTTAACTGCGTTTTTCTATGTATAATTTGGCGCAGTTAACTTCAACGAATTATTTGACTGCCTTTCTTATCGAAATTTGAGCTGAAATTTGGTATGGATAAACTAGACTTGATGAGGGACATGTTCAAAAAAATTTATCAAAACATTACGCCGGAAACCGCCCCAAATGGCGGTGTTCGGACGGCGTTCGGACAGAAAACTGCTGGACATGAGAATGACTCTCTCTCTCTCTCTCTCTCTCTATATATATATATATATATATATATATATATATATATATATATATTGATTGCTTCTTTATAACTCTGCGGCATCCCCTCATCTGTGAGCATAATTGTAACAGTCCAAAATACCCTTCCCAAAACCAATGATATTTTTGAAATAAAATATTTATTCCTTCATAATGTAACTTGAAGAAATACTGTGGAAGACTTTAAACTAAAGGGTGTTACCGTCACATCCAACTAAATCATAGTCGAATACACAAACAATCCAAAAAACAACGATAAACTAATCTAAATGTTCACAACAAAAATAAAGTGTTTATTTAAGAATAAGTTCGGCTAAGGGATCTCTAGACCGCTCTCGGGCCATGCAATCATCAATTAGGCCTCATGATCATCGCTTATCAAATAATGGGTAAAGGAATGAACACGCAAAGAACTAAAGTTAACATAACACTAAGTAAGTTCTACCTAATCCCCTGCAAAATAGTATAAGTTTGGCAAAATACTTTATAATTAAGTTAGTATGTACTGAGTATCACATTGAAAATAATCTCAATAATTATTTTCTTTTTAAAACCATAGTCACTGTCACTCCTAATCTCTTTTAAGATAAGCAGTACTTGAGACTCTTTCCCGAGCTCAATGAATCGTTGTTATTTATGAACCCACCCGCAATTCCGGTTTCCACGTACACCACTTTATTGAAAACGAAATGATTACCTTAATTGTGTGCACCCCAAAATGGGATTCCAAACCTTTGGGTAGTAAACCATAACAAGTAGTCATGATTATCTCTACCAACTACCCCATTAAAAGGATTTAATCTAAGTGATGAGGAACTTCTACTTCTACACCAAAAAGGGATCAATCGTCCCAATGTCAAGTTAGATACCGACCTAATCAAAACCAAAACCGTACTCCAAATAAGTAGAAGTAGACCTAACCACCCTCCACGTTTATCTGGACGTGGACGGGATCAATCATCCAAATGTTGGGTTAGATACCGACCTCTTATAGGATTTGTCAGTAGCCCTAATAAGAGCATAATGAGAATTTCTCCTTAAAAAAATTAGAATTGGCCCAATGCAAAACAGTCTGGCCCAGTGCAGCCATTCTCTATTGTGCATTGCCCAATCCAATAACTGGAAGAACCAAAGGATGAACGGAAGAAAAACGCAAAAACACGCAGCAGAGGTCGGACGCCAAGTCAGCGAGGAACGCAACACCGCTCGCATCGCCGGACGCCGCACGGCCCTTCGTGCCTCCTCCCGCCGCTGGCCGCTGCTGAGTGCTGCTCGCCTACTCCTAGCCTCCTAGTCTGCTTATCTGGACTCCGCCTAACCGGCTTCTGCTTCTCAGCTTCTGGGACGCCCCTGGTTTTGGACTCTGTGCCCATGTATCTCCTCCGGTTCGATCTTTCTCCTTATAATATTGTTCCTACCTAGAATCTCGTTTCACCTCTGGAAATTGACATTTTATTTTGTATGGAATTTTGAAAAATAAGTATTCTCTCCTTTTTCATTTCTTTTTAAAGTTCGTGTTAATATTAGTTTTCTCACCTTTTACTCTCTATTTCACGTGCAAACTAAGTTGGCTCAACTGGGACAGACTACAGAGGGAGTATTTTAACTGAAAATTATATTGAAAGGATTTGATTTTTTACATTTGTATTTGGTTTAGATAGGATTGGTAATATGAAGGATATAACTAGGGGGTTAGGGCAGGTATGTGAAACTAAGAATCGAAAACCGAGAAAGAAAAAAACTGAAACCCAACGAACTGAATTGAACCATAGCTTTACATTTTAGGTTTAGGGCTTTACCTCTACAACCAAAGCGAATAAACCAAACTATTAAAAATATGTTGTTTTACTTGGGTGTTCAAACGAGCTGAACCGAGCTCGAACGTGGGTATGCTTGAGCTTGAGCTTGAGTGTGATAAAAATTTATGAGCTCGAACTCGATCTCGAGCTTGGACGAGTTAAATAATTCGGGCTCGCACTCGAGCTGAGCTCGACTCGATCTCAATTCGAGCTCGGTTCAAGCTCGAATTGAGTTTCGCTAATTAATTTTTATAGGTTTGAACTTGAATAAGATGTTCAAACTAGAGCAAACATATAATATGTGTACTTATTCATTCTCATTTTTAGTTTATATCTCTTTTACCGACATTTTAATTCTTTATTTTACCGTCAATAAGTATACGGAAACATATTATAATTATTACAGATTATGGTTATAATAATAATACTATGTACATATTATTATTTTTGTAATTATTACTATTATAATATACGTTGTGATAAGTATTGAGAATGGAATAGTCCTAAATTAGAATACATGTTCCAAAAAAAGTATATATATAATTATTACATACGGAGTATATAATTATTATATACATAATATAAAATATGACACAAAAGCTCGCGAACGAACTCGCGAGCCACAAGCCTAAAATAAATAGGCTTGAGTTGAGCTGGTTAACTATTCAAGTCGAGCCGAACTCGAGCTTTTCCCGATGGATCCACGAGCAGCTCGTGAACGGCTTGGCTCATTTACACCTCTAGTTTTACTTATTGACCATCAAGCATTAATTCTAATATCCCTCATTAGTCCTCAATTTTCTAGTCCTAAAATTTTAGAATGTTTTTAATTGAATTGAAATCAACTGGCCTGGTCTACTCTGATATACTGATATGGTCTGAACTCTGAACTGGTCGGGTCTGGTAGAGCTATATTTTATAGCTGCCCAAGTCTGGTCTGAGACTGAAGTTTAGAAACAAAAGTTTGTTAACTTTCCCTTTTTTGATGACAAGACTATATCATTTTCATTTAGCCCAGTGCCGCAAAGGCTCCCACTTACGGTGGGGTAAGGAGGGGTCGGATGTACGCAGTCTTACCCCTGTACTAAAGCACAGAGACTGTTTCCGGATGACCCATAGTGAAAATCGCGTCCAAAATTGCATGGACTGACTGCTGCTCCATAACAAAGAAGCGCAGACAGTTTAGTGAGCCATTTTGCTTTATTTCATCATAATCTCAAGCCAAAAAATAATGAATCTTTGGCTCCATTGCAAATGATGGAAAAAATGACAAGACTATATATGTTGCAAAAATAAACTTATGCGTTTATTATTCTAAAACAAATTGTGTCTATATGGTTGGTTGATATGTAGTTTAGATGTTTATTTCTTCTTCTTCTTCTTCTTATCTTGTTTTAGTTTGATATTATATTACCATTAGTTTTTGTATAGTGGAGGTTTGTTTTTTGTTTTTGTTTTGCAATTACTGTGTCTTTTTTAAAAATGGTAATATTATTTTGCAAAAAACAGTGAAACCCAAAACTAGACCGAATTAAACCGTGATTTTAAATTTTAAAGAAAAAAACAACCAAACTGTTTTTTAACTTTGGTTTGGTATTTGTTCAAAACTGAGCTGAATGAACCAAACCCACCGCTAGTAGGATCCGGCATTTGGTTCTGTTAAACAGCCAAACTGAACCACACTGAACCGGACCATATGCAATTCGGTTTATGTTTTGCATTTTTTTCAAATGTGGTTACTCTGAATTGTCAATTTACATTGCCAGGTTGCATTTCTAAAGAATAAGTGTGGGCTTGCTTACACCGTTTGTACGGCAGTTCCTTCAAATGCATCAAAGGAGCACGACTTCATATCTTCAGGTTTAAAGGAATGGCCAACCTATCTGATCCACCATCATCTGCCATTTCAGCTGCTGAGGTTGTGTTAATATACGTATCAAATATTGTTTTTTGGAACTGCTTATTCAGTTTTTGAAATCAATTATGGTTGGTTGCTAAATTTTTCAGCTAGAGTTTCTTGCAGAGGATGAAATGGTTGAAATTGTGCCCAACATGAGAATGGAAACCCTAAATTTGATCTGTGTAAGTATTTACTCTTATCTTCAATTATAAATTATATTGGTATATTTGTACCTTGTAATCTGAGTTTTGCATTTTTTATTGAGTTGATGACAGGGAGATTTTGGCCCTTTTCACCCACAAATAGCTGTACAGGTTCCACTGTGGCTAGCAGTGGCCCTGAAGAAGAGAGGGAAATGCACTATCAGGCCTCCTGAATGGATGTCAGTTGGTGAGTTATATAATGTGCTTGTCAAATTTGGTAGTTATTGCAAGGGTTTATATACTACGGATCTTAATAGTTGAGGTTTCTTCACACTTATTCCTATTCATGGATTGGTACTAATTTTTATGTTGTGTAGAAAAGTTAACACAGGTCTTGGAAGCAGAAAGAGATTCTGAAGGGTTCCAGTTATTACCATTTCATTATGTTGAAATTTCAAGACTTCTCTTTGATCAGTAAGTATATACTCCGTACTTTTTTCAGTAAGTATATAGTATGAGTATGTATGTCAAAATGTATGCCATTCTTGGGTAATGGTCTATGTTGCTGATGTTAAAATGTATGCCTATGGTAGTGCTCGTGAGGACATACAAGATGTATATATGGTAAGTCCACTCTCATTTAGTGTCAGTCTAAATTTCCTTTTTTCTACACGTTTTCTTGCCCCAGAAATTTCAAGCATTTGTCTTCTGATAGGTGAGATCATTAATTGAGGATATAAAGGATGTACGATTCCACAAAATAGGGACTGGCCTCGAGATTATATCTAAGGAGCGTACTTTTGCACTGAGGGTATGTCTTTCCAAAATAGGGACTGACAAAAAAATACTACTGCTCCTGTTTGGTAACAACAATGGGCTTATTCTGTCAGAATAAGCAGCAAAAATAAGTAGCATAAGCACAATAAACAATCCTGTGACTTACTTATTTGGCTGAAACTGATTTTACCAATTGTTTTTCATTTCAGTAATTTCGGCAGGTTAAGCCATTTCAGTCAAATAACATTTACTAAATGAGCCATATGTCCTTGGGCCCTTACTATACACAACAACAACAAATGTCCTTGGGTCCTTGCTATAAGAAAGAAAAATGCTGAATATTTATTGCTCATTGAGTTAGTCTTAGTAGTGGTATGTAATGTGGAGTAGTTAAAGTTTATGCTATTTTTTGTTTTTATTATTACATTACTACATATAATTTCATGCTTTTGCAGCTAAAAAATCTATCTGCAATGGAAGCAAACGTGGTGCGTCCATTTGTCACAAGAGCATTGGAGATGTTTCATAAGTTGAGTAGCCCAGAATTGATATCTGAATCAGATGCTGTGCCAAATAGACAACGCCGACCCATTAATGTGCCAACAGTACGTTTTTTTTTTCGTTTTTTTTTGTCATTTAGCATGTGAAAATAAATCTAACACACTCCATCTTCCCCGTCATCCAGAGAGTTACTAAGCCTAGGTGATGACTATCTGATGTGCTGTTCAAGCATCTGCATTCAACACCACTTCTGCAATGTATTGGTAAAGGCCAGTTTGGAAAGTATACATTCAAGTTTAGTTAGCAGAAGGCACACTCCCTCCATGGCTCCATCCCCTTTTTGTATGCTGAAATATTACTGACCGGTGAGGATTGATCAATAGGATGTGGTGGAACAATTTAATATCTGCATTTAAAAAACGTCCCTAATGTTATACATTTGAAGCTCAGTTTCGGATTATATGTATTTTAATTTCATTATCTTGTTTTCTTTTGTGATGTATTTATTTCTTTTATCCATATATTACTCAAGTAGGATCATTGCTCTCTAATTCAGTCTTGTTGAAAAAAAACATAAATTTGTAAATGAAATATTCAACTCAACATTTTATAATTCCAATCATGACAAACTAGTTTTTTACCCGTGCGTTGCATCATTGCACGGGATAACAAACTAACAAATTACCTACGAAGTTATCAAGTAGCTCAAAGGCTTATGCAAGTGTACATAAATAATTTTCATTGGCAATAGTATTTAACATCTCAACATAATTGACATACACATTCACAATGGTAGAACTCCCTATATAAATCTTCATTTCCACATTGTCTCGAGAAAGAGAATACTCCAGCTGCAACAATGAATGAGTGTGAAGCTTGCCTCCTCCCATCAACAGCCGATTGATCTAAATCGAACCCAACTTGACAATCACTTGCCGTTGACATAACATAATTGCAAGTTTTTCTATTTAGAAAAAGACAACAATTAAGCAAGTGCCTAGAGTCCTAGCCAAAGTTGTTACCGTTGGTAATTCGTGCATATTTTGTAGATCTAGAATCAGTTTGAAAGAGAAATTTCATTTTGCACATAAGCGCCTACAATCCAAAAATTGAAGGAAATAAAAAATCTTAAAAGGTAGTCATAAACTTTGAACATCTATAGGTCATGTATATGAACCACAATCAAGAGCATAATGCAAATCCAGTCACACTATTGCTATTAAGTTTCCCAAGCAATTAAAGAAATGCATCAAAGTAAGAAAACCCTATCTTCAGAAATTTCTAGAGAATACCATTATGTGAGCATGATATTTTGTTAGTGTGCATGAAACTCTTATGAAGATCTCAATTAATTGGCGAAAAAATCTCTCTAATCAAATAAAGGAATGGTGTGGAGCCATGTGGTGACTCGGTATGAATATTTTACTCAAAGTTAGCAACTAATCTCATCATCAAAACTTCTCCTATGAACTGATCTCCTATGAATAGATGTAGGGATGGACTGGGCCGGGCCGAACCGGATCGGCCCGCTACTGTGCGGGTCCGGACCGGACCGGGCCCGGTTGGCCGGTTCCGAGCTTTTAGTCCGTGTGGGCGGGCCGGGCGGGCCGGGCTCAGGCCCAGTTTTGGGCGAACCAGCCCGAGCGGGCCGGGCTCAGGCCCAGTTTTGGGCGAACCGGGCCGGGCGGTTCGGGCCGGGCCCGGGTCAATTTTTTTTTGTTTTTTCAATTTTTTTTCTTTTCCTAGGGTTGGGCTGGGTGTTTTGGGGAGGTTTGGGGGTGGGGTGAGGGGGGGGGGGGGTCGGGGGATAACAAGAAATCAAAAAAAAAAATTAAGCATTGAACCGGGCCCCGGCCCGGCCCGGTTAGGCCCGGACCCGGTAGCAACCCATGCCGGTTCCGGGCCCAAGGAATTGCAAAAAAAAGCCCGGCCGGGCCCGGCCCGGTCCGGGTCCATCCATAAATAGATGGAAGCAAAAAAGGCTTCTAGTCTTTTCTAGAATACATTTTAATAGGCATGAACTACAGATGTAACCAACAAAAAACCTATTGAGTATTTTAAGTATACAAATTACCCAAAAAGCTATTGACTATACAAACTACCATCGAGATGTTGTATGAAGGAAAATATCAAATGCGCGATTTTGGATTTGCTTTGCGATGGATTTAATGTGGTTTCTCATATCAATGAACACCGACATAAAAAATTATGGTTTAAAGTCTTAGCCCAGGGATATAAGATATTCAAGAAAATATTCAAGAAAAGGAACTATACCTAAAAGAAAGAAAGAAATGAGTATGGATTGAGGTACAAAAAGTGCATTTTCACCTCTTCTAATCTAAAGTTTTTAAATCAGGGTCGAAAGTGCAAGAAAAATTACATTTAGTTAACAATGTCTAACGTGTTACATAATACTACCTTCGTCCCTTAAAACTTTGTCAAGTTTGACCGGCACGGAAAATAATAAAGTAAAAAGTATGTGATTGAGGTTTGTACAGAGGAGAGAGAAATAACAGGAACCACAAATTATTGATTTAAAGGGAAAGTGACAACGTTTTTTGGGACGTCCCAAAAAGGAAAGATGGGAAAATTTTAAGGGACGAAGGGAGTACAAAATTGGACTTTATAAAAGGAAACTCTACTATTTAACTAAACATGTATATAAACTAAACTAAACTCAACTATATAATCATCTATTTTTACACTCAAATTAAACTTTTAGTTCTCACTGTTCATCATAATTAAAGGACTAACAAAAAATAAGATTCTTTTCACTTCTTTCTATTACGATACTCAAGTAATATATAGAAAAGAAAACAATGACAATTTATCGGTAAGATTAGAACGAAAACAAACCCTTCGTATCGGTATGACCAGTTTCTTCGATTGGAATTTTTTTTGGGACGGATGTAGTATGTTAAAGGAGCAAATTTAACTAAGGTGATGTAAATATAAAAGAAATCAGCTTAGAGTCCAAATTAAATTCAAATAATATAATTTTACTTCATCTACCTGTCATTATTTTATTCTAATATTGAAGTCCAAAAAGAAAATAAATGAATTATAAAAAGAGGAGCAACTAAAGTATTCTCAAAGCACTGCCTTACACATTTTATAACTTTTAGTTTATCAAGCATTTTAAGATCACATTTTTTAACTTTTAGGATCACAAATGGCCGGCTAGGTTCAGGAGCGGTTTCCGACGACTCCCAAACACGGTCAAGAAAGCAACGTTGATGGTTTTGTAGTTGCCAGACGTGCGGGTGCGGGTATCTCGCAGGCTGCCCCCATATCCATTAGAGAATCAATAGATTCTGATATAAACTACAATAGAAAGAATAGTAAAATATGGTGAATATTAGATATACTTATAATACATAAGCCTCAAATTTAAGATTTTCAATAGAACTTGGAGGAATTAAAGTTAAATGCTGAATAAATGTTAAGGCATGTTACATACGGAGTATAATATGAAAATATAGATTTGAGAGATAATACTAACAAACAATTGTGAGGTTTGTTGAGATGAACTCTCCAAGACTCCAAGTATAGTAATAGAAGACTTCTCAGATAAAGTTTGTATCTATCCGAGAAGTCATAATACATCGTCAAATGTGCATATGAAAGCAGGATACCTGAAAGAATAAAAGAAATTTGGAGATAAGAAGCTAAGGGAGTAAATGACGCCTGCAAATTAAGCAAATGAGCAAATACCTGAGTTACAAAAAATCCATTTGATTCCTTATAGTAGGCGGGAGACTTACTTCAATTACCTGAGTGGGAAGCAAAACCAAAATAGCGAAAGGCATTAATATGGCACAAGAGTTCAGTACAATAAAAATTGGGTAGAATGAAATATACTCGTACCATCAAATGTCAGATTATAAAGGGACATGTGCGGTAATTAAAGGGTCAAAACTGCATTTTGTAATTTTATAAGAAAGCAGCATGCTGGTATATTAGTTATATATATAATCAAAATGTGGTGGGAATATGATGTTTAAAAGTACGAAGCGCTAAGCCTTTTATTACCAAATAAAAAAGAAAGCAGCAGGCGGCCATAAGCATATAATATTTTTAATCATCAAATATATAGCACAAGAAACATTGTGTATGGGAGTGGCGTTAGGAGATGGAAAATTGAGGGCTAGGCAGCGGTTACCTCAAGTCTTCTTGGGTTAGCTTTCTCTTTAGTCTGTCTTCAACTTCATGAAAGACCAAAATTTATTCCAGCCCTACAAAATCGAAATCAATACAACCATTAGAAACTGATTAACTCATACTTTAAACACCCCCAAATTGAACTATAGAAAAACGAACCACAACGGAATCAATACAGTATTAACTTAGATTAACAGGGAGAAAGATTAGTTTGAGAGGAATGAACTAACTTTTGATGGTGAAAGCATGGAGTAGTATTCGTGCTTTGGAAAGGTGAAGAAGTGGTTGAAAGAATGCTACTCTGTAGGGCTTTAGAAATTCGTGCTTTAGTTCAATCTTTATATATTTAACAATGGAACCGGCTAAATATAACTGTTCCCGCTCTTTCAATCATGTGCGCATCACATGACACATGCTATATTCAGTTTTATCATACTACGTACTCCATTAAATAACTGATACCATTTGTGGGTAGTTAAGAACCTGGATCAACTGCTAGCACATATTTTGTCAAAAAAGAACCCGCTTGAAGCCTGTATATATATTGGCCGTATATTACATTGCTACATATAAGACATTTTGGTTATGCAGAATTGCTTCTTCCACCATGGAAAATTACTACTAATAAAGCTTTAAACTTCTGAGCAAATGGTCGATCCCCGTTACCTCGTAGGTGCTATATTCAAAAATCAGAATATAATCATGTAAGATGTTTATGTATATGTTAATTTTTTTGTAGGGCGCCGGCGGCATTAGAAAAAGGATGTTTGTCATGAGTATAATCATGAAGATGCATAAATACATAACTAGGCTGGGGAAAATTGATGAGATCATATACATGCATGCATGCATGGTACGTCTATGTAAAGGTGTTTCATGTTCAGTAACAAGTTGATTTCATGTATGCATGCTGTACTTTCCATGTTTTCAATGTCAATCCTACCCATTTATATTTTTCTGGATTAGATTAGATGGCCTACTTTTTGTTTGATTAAAAAAATGGGTCACCGTTGTATGAAAACTTTCATAAGATTGAATTCATTTACTTTTAAAAATTTAACTTCAAATACTCTCCTAAAGTAGAAGTTCATAATTCCTAATATAGAAATTCCTAAAGCATTCAAGATGTACACGTTATTTTGATTCCGTAGAAGTTCTTTAAATTTTTTAAAATTTGTTGCCTTTCAAGATTCAATATTCTCTTTTGCCCATTTCAATCAACATAAAACACCAAAGGCTAGGGAATTAAGAAAATGAAATGAATGCAATTTAGAAACACGTAAAACATATATTTAAATAACTGTTCATATTATAAAATACTCCGTAAGTGATTTATTAACATGAAAAAAATTGATGCAAGAAACGTATTCCATTAATGATTGAGTTACTA